CTCAATAGTTTATAAAGCATTAAGCGTATTCCGCTGTACGTTGTTATTCAACGCTGCCGTACACCTGCAGGGATTTTTACTTCGCTGAGATAAAGACATTCTTCAGAGACGGTCTGAACCCTGATTACATCATTGTTCGGAGAATGTCACGCTGCTTGGGAAACGGGCAGAATCGGGGGACCAGACCTTACCAATTAATCAGGATACGTTTTTACGATTTAAAGCAGATTCGCGTAAACTATACGGTAATAATCGAAAATGTATCATGCGCTACAGCTTTATAATATACATAATGGGCCTTACAAAATACGGTGTTCTATTTTACTACGGGTACACTTATCTCCTTAGGATAATTTAAAAAAAAAAAGTTACCGACAGGTGGTCAATGCATAATTACCGACCGCGATAGGCCCCTGGAGGCACGCAACGCCGCTGCTACTCAGTTTCGGGCCTTAGGACCAGGTCCGCATGGTGGGGGAGCAGCAACATAGGTTGGCGGTGGGGAGAGCCGACCACATAGGCGAGGGGGTGACGCCATAGTGCGGTACGGGGGGACACAGCGCGATGCGCTCTATGACTCATTGGGACAGTGGTGGGGGTTTGTTGTGACGGCCAGAAGTGGCTTATAACTACTCGCCGATCGTAGTATAGGCCTACTGGGAACCCGCTACGTTAAATAATGGGAACGCATCGACTGCGGCACCTCTTGGGTGATGTGGAAGCCCGCAGATTGTCGTTGTTTATGCTTTTATTGTAATAAGATAAATGGATTAATTGGATATACTCTTTAACCTGTTAATCCTATTTGCAAAAGCACATTTTTTTTTGTAAAAAGAAAATGCTCTCCATAGAGGGGTCTCGAACCATAGACCTCCCGATTCGTAACCGGGTGCACTAGCCAGATGCCAAAAACACTTGTATGTTTTACTTGTTTCGGAAGTTGTATTTCATCGTTTATTCAACTGCTTACTATTATTGTTTCGCTTATTTTACATATAAGCAGAATAATATGAAGATGCACACCAGTTAAGAACTTTCGCGCCACCCTTCTCCACGTGGACGAACAATTACAGACAGAGATAATGCTCATTTCCATATTTGCTTCTCAAGATTATTGATTCCAGGTAATGAAGTGAGCTAATTATTTTCTCATAGTAGGTAAATCTTATTGAGTTTACACTGGGCGCTGCAACTAAAGATTGCAAATAAAAAAGTATTTATAAGATTATAAGAACCAGCGGCAGCAGTAACAGCAATCGCAGACCCCTCAGCGAGAGAGGATCCGCAATTGCTCAAGTCTACGGTCGCGCGACACGAGCGGGCGTTTAAAATATTAGCCGATTCTGTCATAGATAAAATTTAAAAAAATATATATAAACTTAAACTAAGGTTTGGGCAACCTAGAAAGGTTAAAAGAGAGGAACCTTGAACAATTTTTGTAGTAAAATAAAAAAAAAAGAAGATGAAAAGAGAGGTCTTCATGGGGGATCGAACCCGTAATCAGCAGCGATATATCTTGACAGGTTACTGACTCAGCCACGATGCTCGTTTAATTCTAAATTAAATTTTCTATAGATATTTATCTATGATACTTCAAAATTTCTCTTTGAACTGTTCTCGGTCGTTTCATTTACCAACGAATTTCGCCATTCATTTTTTAATGTTCATTATCGGCATGATAAAAGGTAAAGAGTGAAAACCAATATTTCTATGCATTTTTTATAACTTTGAAATTTATTTGAATATACATTTTTGTTTGCGCATTACGTCCATACAAACGTTTAGGGTTCGGTTGGACGGAAGACCTTGCTGTTCCGGCTGTTTGTCAAGAACGGTTTCTGAGGGGCGACAACTTGTTCCCCACCACCGAGCAATTCATTCATTTCGCTGACTGCAATATCGGCTGGAACGATGATCATGACCCGCGCGGCTACGCGAAATCTGTAACATCGACAGAGGCGATGACCACGAATTCCTACTCCTGGACTCGCCGCTACGATTTAGCGCCATGCTTTTGGTATCGCCTAAAACCGGAGCGTTGTGCATCTCCCCACTCATCTCTGACCAAAAACAGGCTCATTGGCAATCTCCCTACTCATCTCTGCTTATAGTTCAGTGATTTCAACTCAACTCTTATTACGGTGGAAACTAATTGTAAGCCACTATTTAATTCGCAATGGCTTTACCGTTCGAGGAATCGATTGCATCGTATCGATTGAGATCCTCGAATCGCAAATGCTTTTTTTCATTTTTCTAAAAAAACGGTGGACTATTAATCGTTTTTATTACTTAGTTCATTCATAACTCATAACTATCAAATGATTCTGCATCGATAGAATCTCTGAAAAGTTAAATTCGATTAGAATAAAAAAATGCTGGATAACTTCAGAACAGATTTTGATTTTGATTTTCTGAAGAAATTATTTACTTTCAAATTTTTTTACAAGCCGCTCAAAGAATATCAAATAATTGGATAAAAAAAGTTTAAAAAATTAAAGTTGGCCGGCGAACTTCACACAGCTAACGGTTGTATGTATTCATCATTTGTTAACAAAACAAGAGTTACCGCAGTTTTTCAAATAAAATACGTGTACTTAAAGGTGTTTCTCTTTTTTAAGATAGATAAAATTTATTTTTCATGTAACTTAATAATTAGCCGTCGATATTATTTATATTACATGTGAATCTTATTACTTGATAAATAAGGTTTAAATACAAAGAATAGGTTAATACCCAAAATATGACGGCTACAACGAATACGAATATAATGGTGGAACTGCATTCTCAAGAAACAGTAACAGACGATATTAAGAACTGTGAAATTTCCAATGGGAATAATATAAGGAGAACTAATGACAGTAGTAACAATGATCAAGCAACATTAGAGATTCTACAATGCTTTGTCTGTGACATCAAAGTGCATGGACGTCATTATTCCCTAGCCACATGCAGGACACAGAGTACTAGAGGCAGAGTTATTGAAAAACTGGGTGAACTTGTTGGCGAGAGGTATATTTCTTGTTAATAAAATATATTTGAATATTCTACTCTTAAGAAACATAACATACTATAGGTATATGGTTGTCATCTCTGAGGATGATGTTATCTGTCGAAGTTGTGCTAATTTGATGAATACTCTTGATCGACTTGAAGCTGAGATGAAAGGAGTTCGTAGCACGATACTTCATTTCTTGGAGCGGAAATATTCGCTCGACGAAGGAGAACTTTTAGGTAACAGCGATCCAGTTAAACTATGTCAACCACCGCAGATTACCAAGAGTCATCCACAAAATACCAATAGCTATCATGGTAGAAAACGAGCGGCAGTTTCACCGAGTACTTTCTCAAATGATAATAAGCAGAAAAAATCTCATGTCTGGATGCAGTGTGATAAGTGTAGATATACTACGCAACATAATGCCTTCATGGTTCATCATATTCGACAGCACATCAAACATAACTTCAATTGTGATAAGTGTGGCATACCATTTCAAAGACAACAAAAATTTGCCCACAGCTGTACAACAAAAAAGGAGGATAAAAGGGATAATTATATTAGAGAAGACTACATTGAAGTAGATAAAAGTATGTCTTATTCAATTGCACAATTTTGAAATAATGATGAATTCTCGATCCTTTTAGGTGATTCTATAGAAGCATCAAATCTCAAAGAAATTAATATTGGCATGCACACCAAACCAGAAATACTTCAAGTGATATCACATCCAACAAATTCTGAAATATCAAATGCTATCAAACAGGAGAGTGTGCAATTGATAAGGCTGTCAACTCCAGGTGATTTGCAAATCCAAGGAATTATAGCAGCTGGTACTTATATTTCGTTAATTTATGCAATAATCAAGGTATAAGTATTTTCTAAATTCTTCCAATCAAATATTAACTTAATATTACATGACAGATTCCAGCACAGCAAGCCATCCTTTATTGGTGCGTGTTCTCCAACACGTAGACATTGAACAGGAGCAACTACAATCACAAGACATAATAGGAACAAATACTGCACCAGGAATGATGGTTAAAGTCAAAGAAAACTATGGAGGGAAACAAATGTTGACGCTAACTGAAGATGGAAGTTTAGAAATGGTTGAGGTAGCGTGCTGGGATGACGTACAGCCATCAGATCACACCCTGATATAACATTATAATTCTATTGTTTAGATATTACATCTCTTTATTTACATTACATAAGATTGTTTGCTTGGCACTAGACCCATGAGGATGTTATTACTCGTTATTTATATTGTCAACTGTTCCAAGAGAATTATAAAAATTAAAGAATTATTTATTTTGTTTGAATGACGGGTAATAACCCTTTTACACTGTTGCCTTATAATTATATAAAAGTCTATATCGCAGATCCCACGTCGCATCATCTGTAACACTGCCATTCAGCTATTATATGTACGCACATACACGGAGCAGCGACGTCAGAAACGAGGAAATCTTTATAAACATTTTATTCCTCCATTTTCCATTCATCCAATTATTAATTCAACCGTATTCTTTATACGACATGGAAAATAAGTCATCTGCGTTTAAGTACATAAAATACACTATGTACACAAATTAATCTGGCCTAATTGGGGTCGTCATGAGGGCTTAGCAGTTCGCAGGTTTTTTTAAGTATTATTTTTGAAGACAAGATTTTTATAAATTTTAAATCCATATGATGCAGCTTTTTTGTCGTGCAAGAGAGGTAATTAACCAATAATGTATTAAATTAGTTGACAACAAAAGGAACAAATGGTAGCAAAGGTTTCCTCGCCTCATTACAAATCCTGTGTAAAGGTGTATTTGCCTCATAATTACGTGAGCTGCTAGGGCTGAAATAAATCTGAAGTTACTTATTCCGTGTTCTTGATGTTTATATGTTATATACATCCGCTTAGGCCATTATCAATTTCCTTTGAATTATCAAATATAAAAAGGAGCATGCCATCATTAACGTCAAACACAGAGTTTATTGAGGGAATTCACAAAGTTTCCCTCCTTGTTGAATATTCGTGGGCAAACCTAACATACAAAAGCGAAACTTTAGATATTAAGTATCTTAAGTATTTATTCTGCACAGTTTTAGGTTTTTTAATATAATGCGCATATTATAGCCTCCATACCGCTGATGTATATTAAAAATTGATTTAACTAATAACAGGTGAGAGGTCTGTATAGTTTTTATATCCTTAAACTGTGTATTCATATTGTATATCTTAGGTCTTAATTGTTTATGTGCTTTGTTGATGACGTATCGTATGTGTTTGTAGAATGCTAAATTTATAATACATTGAGTAGAATTCCGAAGTCTGCAACAACACATATTCTTCGAAGTAGATTAATAATTGAGTACTAGTATTCATAATAGGAGTCTCTGCTGAGGTCAATAAAAGCATTTTTCAACGTTTAAAATCATACCGTTATAATTACTATATTATATACAAGGTGTTCAAGAAATGGTAGTACACCCGAGAAGCAGGTGATACAGTTGCAGAATATAAGTACTTTTTACACAGTTTTTTGTTTTAATTAGTGTCATTTGAAAACTAATGGCAATCAAAGTTTGTTGCGCGGAGTTTTTCCACTTACGCGTTTTAACGTATGAACCTTGTTGATTTTTCTGCAGTCGCTAGCCCCCTTCTTACCTCTGAATCTTTTTTACTTTTTGTTATCTGCTTATTTGTAACTGATATATAAGGGAGAACACAAATGTACAACTGAAGATACTGAAAAATTTACTTTCTCGTGTATTTTACCGTAACTATAAAAAATGTTTCATCTTTAATGAATTTGTAAACACAGATGGAAAAGTAGTTTCTGTTTTAACTTGATAAAAAGGCTTTCATAGTTTTGCTATCATTGCTACTGTTTGTGTGAAATTCTATGCTGAAACTTACACAAATGTGTTTACAAATGTATGGAGAACAATTAAAACATCTTTTATAATTACGGTAAGATATACAAGAAAGTGAATTTTCAGTATTTTTAGTTGTGTATTTGTGTTCTTCCTTATATCTCAATTACATATAAACGGATAACAAAAAGTCACAAAGATTCAGAGGTAAGGTGGGGGTTTTCGAGTACAGAAAAAGCAACATGTTCCGTACATTGAATCGTAACTAGATAGGCTGCACTCCAACAAACTGCCATTAATATGAAAATGACGTTTTAATTAAAAAAAATTTGTAAAAAGTTCTTATTTTCTGCAGCGATATTACCTGTTTCTCGATTGTACCACCATTTTTTAAACATGCTGTATACATACAGTGGGTCAAAAAAGTCTTCGTACATCAAGAATGAAAATTTTTAGACATGCATAATTTTTAAAATATAGCAGGTAATAAAAAATATATATATACTATTTTGAATTCTCTATATACAACAGTGAAATGCAAAACAAGTTATTGCCTATTTCACAGTTAGTTTATTATTAAATATATATCAAAGATAAACTTAACGAAATAAGCGCCAAATAAATCTCGGTACATAGCAACAAAATTGTGTGTCAGTTATCGATTTTTTAAATTCTAGCCGTGATTAATGATCGGTTGGTTCTCCTTTAAATTTTGAAACTTCCCTTATGCGTTTTTCCATTGTGTTAACTAATTTTTCTGTCACAGTATGTTCGATACTGTTCCATTCGTGTAATATTGCACTTTTCAACTCCTTTTTGTTTCGAATATCACCTTTTTTAAGCCGTCGTCCTATTTCATCCCATAAGTGTTTTATAGGATTCATGTCTGGTGATTATGGAGGCGTATGGAGTTGTTTGGACACGTTATATAACAACCATTCCTTAACTTTTCGCGCCGTATGTTTGGGATCGTTGTCTTGCTGGAATATAAAGGACTCCCCAAGATGTAATTTTCTTGCACTTTCATGTAAATTATCTTTAAAAATATTTAAATAAACATTTTGATCCATTTTGCAGTCAATAAATTCCAAATTTCCGACACCAGCTGCACTCATACAACCCCATACTAGTACTCCGCCTCCATCATGTTTCACGGTGGGACACAAATTCTTACTGTCCATCTGTTAATTTGGTTTCCTCCACACCATAACTCGTCTATCAGAACGAAAAACGTTAAATTTACTTTCGTCCCTAAATAATACTGAGTTCCAGAAACTAGAACGCTTGTCCATGTGTGCCCTCGCGAACTCCATGCGTTTTGTCTTATTCACTTTACTGATAAAGGGCTTTTTCCTAGCTACACGGCCGTTATATCCAGCTTTTCTAATAATATTTCGAATTATTTCAGGTACAATCTTAATTTTGTAATCCGTTTCGATCATACCAGCCAATTTCGGTCCACTTGTTTTCGGTTCATTTCTAATTGTTTTTAAAATGGCACGTTCATGATGTGATTCCAACTTTCTTGGACATCCTGTACGCTTTCGATTTTGAATAGAACCGGTATTATTGTATTTATATACTGTTATGCCTCACGATAGGATTCGTCGTATAGTTAATCTCCAGACGCAAAGTCAGCATTAGACGAATGCTGACCCTATGCATAAGGCGTTAAGATAAAAGCGACGAGAGACACCTTGTGAGCCACAGCGGTCACTCGCAAAGTTCCTAGCTAAGAGTGAAGTCCTGGAGCGTAATTCATAGTTGTGAATAATTGGTATCATTGTGGTATCACATAATAATTAGTATCATTAGTATCATCTACTCCCATTAGATTTGTGTGACCTTAGTATTTACATTATACCAACTTCAATAAACTACAATAGTTCTCTATATAATTTCAAATCGGTGCCATTATTTATTTGTGATCCTAAAGAACTCATGACGGCATAACAATACGTATAATATAGTGCATGCTAGAATGTGATTTCTTTACTATTTGTGAAATTTTTCTGACCGAATACCCTTCTTTTCTTAAGTTGATAATCAATTCACGAATTGGGTTTGGTACTTCCATATCACAGAGTAGTTTTAAACTGTATCGTCATTTTCTGCTTGTTAATATTACACTGACATAAAATTTCCTCTTAATACATCTTGTCATCTTTGTTTGTTTCCATTCGCATTACCATTCGCACAATGTACGGAGACTTATTTGGCGCTGTTTTGGCTAAGATTATCTTTGATATTAATTTAATAATAAAATAACTGTGAGATAGTCAATAACTTGTTATGCATTTCATTGTTGTACATAGAGAATTCAAAATAGTATATACATATTTTATTATCTGCTATATTTTAAAAATTATACATGTCTAAAAATGTTCATGCTTGATGTACGGAGACTTTTTTGAGTCGAATAGGGTTGAGGCTTTACTTAGCTGAACTCACGTCCATATTATTCGGTACTAATCGATGAGGGTGGGAGTTCAGTCATATTTCCCACTTTTTGAATGAATGAAAATCTCCCGAATACGAAGAAAACACGGGAGACATTTCCCTCATGCGAAGTCACAATCTTATTCGACTCGTTAGATTGAACACCCTGTATATCTCGCAATATTCATTGCTCCTCCTAATGACATCCTCAGCGGCCAAAGGAGCTCAAAACTCGAAAACCCATTTTTGGAAAAGAAGTGAATAGGTTCACTGATGTCTCTGCAAATTGTGTTCCAGTTCCAATCAGAGATCCCACAGAATCACCTATGGTTTTCCCCTGTTCATTAACAGTTGTTTTAATGGCACCTCCCGCATGATTCAAAGAGGTAACTAATCTGCCTTGTATAGTATCTGTAATCTGGGTAAAATAGAAGTAATGAGGTTTAATAACCCTTATAATAAAACAAATGATAAAATTATGAAATTTACCTGTGTAGCTGTACTAAAAACATTCTTTATTGTATCCTGTGCAGTATCCAGGGTCTGGTTAAGAATGACGCTAGGTTCAACATTCAAATTCTTAAGAATATTAGTGATGTTTCCTTCATGAACAGATACACTCGAAACGCCAGATGTCGCAGAATTAGTAGTAGCTATCGGCTCGGTTGAAGAGACATTGTTGAATTTATCTAATTCTGGCACTGGTGCGGACTTGCAAAATAAAAAAGTAACATGAATATAAAATAAAGACTTGGAAACAATTTTTTTTTTACATTTAAAATACATAATAGTACTATGAACATAATTCACTTGCGATAATGACATACCCGAACAATCACATTACTCAGAAACGTAATGAATAACAGACTTAATGTCATTTTTAATTAATTCAACCTGCTAGTTTTTAAGTTAAACTAAAGAACTCATGCAGACGACGCACTCACTACTAACCACACATTAATGTTTTGTACGTTATGCTTTGCTATATATACAGCAAAGTACGTCGTTCATGTTTGTAACATATGGACTTACAATTGTATCCACAAGAAGTTGTAGTACTTATATTTCTAAATTATCGAAAAACACTTTCAGAGTGCATTCGACAATTATAATACATAACGTTCCCATGAATCATTCAATAAGTTAGGTGCTATCGCTGCACCAAGGTAATTAAATAATAAAACGATTGAATATTCGAGAGAACATTCGAACATATCTAAATTTAAATACTTTTCACCTTTTCAAGTACGCTGTAGCTGTACGGATAACACTTGTTTATTGTGGGGAAAAATGTATAATTATTCAATACTCAGAAAAAAATCTATTGTAAGTTGTACTATATGGCATAGTAAAATATTTTGAGTTGAATGAACTATATTTATAGTTAGTGACATTATATTTATGGTACAATATACCGATTTTTTTATTATATGATTATGCGTGTTACGATATATCTGTTAACTCAAATCAATAGTTTAAAGAACTGCCAATTTTGGTAAGCAAAACAACAGTTATAATTCAATATTTGACAATGGAAGCATAAGTTAAATTACTATTGTATTATGTGCGACGTTATTCCTCACAAAACTCAAAATCCAAAACCCACGATAAGAAATTAGAGAAGCGGTAAGCGAGATTCATAAAGCAGATAACCGTATACAAAACAACGTATGATTCTCTCTTGACTAATTCCGATATTTCCAAGGCCAGATACGCGATAAATGAAATTTGTTGGGCGCCAGGTGATCTCAGGAGAGAGCACCGCAAGTGCAGGGCACTTGAGATTTTATTGGTCGTCGGGGGACGCGGGAAAACTCGGAATAACATAAAGGAAAAGGAAGCAGGTAAGGCGACACTGCCAAGGGAAGAGAGTAGGAAAATCAGAAACGGCGACTCCGCCAAGAGAAGAAAAAGAAAAATCAGTAAACGACGCCTCTGCCAAGGTAGTAAAGAGAAAAGGTAATAAATGGCGACTCCGCCAAGAACACAAAGAGATAGATCCACAAACGGCGACTCCGCGAAATAGGTAAGACAAACGAAACACGGAAACGGCGACACCGCCAATAAAGGTGGGCAACAAAACGAGAGAGAGAGAGAGAGAATCAAGTGGTCGAGGAAATCTCCAAAAAATATACCCGATTCAGAGGCTAGCTCATCTGGGAGAGCATCGTTCAAGAGGTTAGGCGAGGAAAAGAATAGACAGGCGATAGAGAGAATGGGTAAAAGAAAAATAACAGAAAAGGGTAAGTTTAACACACCGAAGCTATACTAAAGGAAGCAAAAAAGTACACGCCAGCTGGTTAAAAAACTATAAAGCTTTTGAAGTGGAAAAAATAAAACAAGGATTAAAGCGGTTTCGAAAATTGGCCTAGTAAAATCCTCGATGAAGAGAGCGGGATTTAGTAAGGTGCGAAAAATACAAAATATATAGCAAAATTCCTTATACTAACTTTACAAAGCGATAATCTCTTGAGGGATTCTATATAAACTAACATTCTTAAACTAATCGCGGAACTAGCGAGGGTTTAGGGCACTATTGGCTATATGATACGGCAGCGGGACGAATCCGCGCAGAAGCAAAAGAGACGTTAGAGATATTTCAATAAATACTAGAATACGCAATAAACGCGGGAACAAATAATTTGGTTCGTAACGATACTACAGCCAAGAACAAATTCACTCGCGAAATTTACCGCAAATTGGAAAGAGTCGAAAACAAGATATATGAAGATTACGATTAACACGCAGATACAATAGTCACTCAAATAAATTAACACAAGCAGTACAATCAGTATAAAATCGTCAAAAGAAGTGGCAGGCTCTCATAGATTTAATAAGAAACATAAGTTTAATCAGCGAAACGATATTAATAATAGGTACGCCACTGATAGTTAGGGCGTTCTTTATTCTCAAACCGGGCGATTACTCAAAAAAAGGAAGGTGACTCTACGTTAGACCAACAGCGTAAGGTATCGAGAATTATTCCGCGAAGACGGTCCTACTGAGAATTTAATAAAACAACAATATTTCTTTAAGGGGAGGATGCCATTCCTAATAACGTAAGCGACAAATACGTAAACTATATACACTACCGGTCGAAAGTTTAAGTTCACTTGCTTTATTTTTGAATTCTACACAATTAAGTCAGCTATTCAGTGAATTTTGTCAAACACGTGCGTTTTACCTATAACAAGTCGATACACGCTACTGATCAGAGTGTAGGAGGGAGTTTGGCGCGTGAGAGACGCGTAGATCGAGCACAAACTTGTTATGACAGGTTTCATTCTCTCGATGCGTCTAGTGCATATTACGCGTAACATCTTACAAGGAAACCCCCCCAACCCGACCCCACCGATTTCAATAATTTTGTGATATGTTGTAGTACTCGACAAAATAAGAGACAAGTATTTTTTTTTGTGCTGACATCCACTTTAAAGGGGTGAAAACGACCCTTGAAATTCACCCCCGAAAATCGTTTTTTTATCTACTCGACAAAATAAGAGACA